CTCCAACTGCCCACGGATCTGCCAGACCTTCAACTCCCGAGGGATTCGGGGCCAAACCTGCAAATCCCGAGGGATCTGGGGGCAAAATCCCACCCGGAGACAGGAGGCGAGAGAGGAATTCCAGGGGATTCCAGCCGGGAATTGCATCCGCCGATGGACTCGACGGATTCAGCCCCGGAAGTCCCAATCCCGATGGATTTGGGGTCGGAATTCCCTCCGGGGATGAGGAAGGAGGGAGGATTTACAGAGAATTCCGGCCGGGAATTGCATCTCCCGATGGATTTGGGGTCGGAATCCCGACCCGCCACGGAAGGGTCCGGAAGCCTCCTGCCCAATCCCGGCCCGGGATTCCCTCAGAATTCCAGGAATGCCGGGAACTGCCCCCGGAGGAGCAGCAGGAAAACCCAAATCCTGCCGGATTCCGGACAGGAATCCCCGGAAGACACCGGAAAGACCCGGACTCCTCCGGCTGAAGGCTCCGGAAAGCCCCGAATTCCCCCCAGTTCCAGGGGGGAATCCCAAGAAAACCCCCGGAAACGCCCCATTGTCCCGAACTGCGGCCGGGAAACCCCGGGAAACCCTGGGAAACGTCGGATCCTGGCGGGAAACTCCGGAAAGGTCCAGATCCCGACGGAAAAAAACTCCTGGAGACCCCAAATCCCAACGAATTCCAGCTGGGAACCGCCGGGAGGCGCCGGAAAACACCAAATCCCGGCGGAAGAGTCTGGAAAAACCCAAATTCCCGCGGAAAACACTGGAAAACTCCCCGTGGGAAAACCTGGAAAACTTCAGATTCCCGTGGAAAATCCCCAAATTCTCCAGGATTCCGGCCGGGAACCCCCGGGAAACGCCGGGAGACCGACGGAAAACTCCGGAACCCCCCAGATTGCGGCGGAAAAGGCCCCGATTGTTGCGGGTTCCGGTCTGGAATTCCGGGACCCCGGGCTGGATTCCCAGGATCCCGGGCTGGAATTGCGGGATCCCAGGCTGGAATTCCCGGACCCCGGGCTGGATTCCCGGGATCCCGGGCGGGAGTCGCGGCTGCCGCAGCTCCGGGGGGTCCTGGCGCGGCTGCGGGTCCCGATCCGAGCCCCCCCCGGGGGCCCCCCGGGGCTGTACCGGGACCGGGCGGGGGAGGGGCGGCACGTGGTGACCCTCCAGGCCACCGTGGACCCCCGGGGCTGCCTCTGGAACGTGGAGATCCAACCCCCCGGCACCAAATTCCGAGACTCCGCCCTTTTCCGCAGGCTCGGGGGGAGGGGGGGGGCGGGGCAGGGGTCATCAAGGGTGGGGGAGGGGTCTCCGGGGGAGGGGTCACGATTCCCAGGGGTGGGAAAGG